CGGTATTCACGATCATCCCCCTCCCTGCATTTTCCCCGTAGACACTGAGGTAGAGCTCACGCAACCGCTCCGACAAAGAGGACGTCCCCGCTCCCAGATGCAGGAGGCGCGCAGGCGATGTCGGCTGTCGCTCGAGGATATGAGCGCGTACGTGAGGAAGAATCGTATCTTTGCCGTCTCCGAGCCATTCGAAGTGCTTCTCGTCTTCGAAACGCTTATTCCAATAGGTCTGCAGCTCGTAATCTGGCGGCATTGTTTCTTCAAACTCTGGGGTAGATTCGATGGTGTCAAGGTGTCGAGTGCTGCCCCTCAGTGGACCGTGGTGTAACAGGCGCCCGTTTGAAGAAATTCGTTCGGAAAAAGGGGCCGGATGCCGGACTTGTATCTGGAACCTCAGTTGGAGAAAATCGTGTTGGCGAAGGCAAAAGGTCCGTCCACCACGTTGAAAGTGTCGAAAAGTCCGGCGTTGCATCGCATGTTCGAATACAAGGACGAGAACAAGTTGTTCGTAGCTCATGCCAAGCATACCCCTTTCATTTTATCATGCATCACTAGCTGACCCACAGTCTCATGACCGCACTTCCCGACGGCAAGGGCGATAGGCATTCGACCGGTAAGTGTAAGTACATGCCTGATTACGTGCTATGTCTAATATTAACGCAGACTATCTTTTGTACTTTCAGGGCAGCAACCTGACTTCGCGCTCTGAGGTCCGCGTGCGCTCGTAATAGTGAATCCCCGCCGTTTGCGAGCAGGACGATTTGGTCGTCGAGTCGACGGTCTTGTAATGCCCAAATTGCTCCTACAGGGTATATCAATACCAGCGAAGGGACGCCGGAGGGCAGAGACACTCACGGAACCCAAAACGTGGTGGAAATACCACACCTCTTGGAGAACGGTACCGTTATGTCCGCATCCAAGGTAGGGGGTCGCTCCAGTCTGAGCCTTCAATGCACCCTGAAGCTGACTGAGGGAGTACGTCGTCTTGTTGGACGGGAAGATGCCAGAACTACAGGGTGAAAGTTGCCATAAGCTATATCCCTGTGGTCTCTAGACGACGTACGCAGCGAGGATATCCCAGGTTGGGTACATTTTGTACGCACGGACCACGGCATCGAAAAAGTCCACGACGTCTTGGTTCTTCTTGTAGTCGGGACCGTAGCAAGCCACATCAAACGTCGACGTGCAGGTCGCGTGCTTGGAAAACTTTGCAACAGGCCGTTCAATGCTAGAATTGTAGTGTAGTCTCGAGGTGAGCAGCGTACCTCATGCCCCCAGAATCCGCTGTTAGGGCTCCCCTGGCTGACCCAATATTTGTTCACTGCCACGCGGGATTAAAAAAGTCCGACAAAATAGCAGGGCGCACGCACTGAAGTCCAGCAAGTCAAACCGACCGAATTCTGCCACGAAGGTCTCTACCCCGGGACCCTTGTAAGCAGGTACGGGAGTGCCGTTCGGTAGCACCGCAGGAGACGGATCAGGGTCATACTGCCGGGAAAGGTCGCAGTACTGGTCGAAAGAGCTGAGAAACGACGTTCAACAGTTAACTAAGCTTCTCGCCAAGAGGAAAGGCTACACACCCGTCGCAGTTATCTGGCCAGAGACCGTGAATGGTCCAACTGTCCTTGGGTAGCAGCTGACCGTGCTTTTCTAAACCGGTATAGGTGTCCCAAAACTGCGTCTGGAGCACCAAGCCACCAGGCGTAGGCGAGCAGCAAGTGTTTTGAATCGTGGTCGTGTTCTCACACGAGTACGCGATCGGCTCACTTGCGCATGCAGTGATGTTGGGGTACGTCCGCGGAAGCGAGAAGAACGACGACGCGCTCGCGCCGGCCTGGAGGACGAGAAAGGCGGAGACGAGACCGAATGCAGCAGCCATCGCTGTCTGTCTTGCTTCAATGCACGGGAGGCGGACAGCTTTCTCCCGACTCTGTTCGCGAGTTTATATAGAGATGGGTGCCGTGGGGGCGGGCATAACGAACGTGCTATCTTGCCGCCCCGATAGAGAAGGATGAAGCACATGCATCGCGGCGCCGAAGGTCCGCATCAGTCAACCGTAGGTAGCCATCAAATACAGCGGTGTCGAGGACTCAGGACGTCTGTGTGACTTGCGGTCGGAGTGGGTGCCTGAGTATCCAAAAGCGCTTCGGGGCAAATGGCGAGATGACGATGTCGGAGAGATGAGCGCTGTGAGCCGAGGAAGCTGTGGACCCAATCTCACAACACTTTAGTGCAGTGCTCGTCTTTTCCATGGAATAGACTTCCTGCCCCCGTAGTTTTCTGGCCTTCTCGGACCTTCACGAGATAGTAGCACGTGTTGGTGTTTACTTTGAAACTTGACACACCATTTGGATACGATGGTGGCGCTGTTGCGTGGGGTCACCACCTACAGGTCATTACATATGTACTCGCCGGCAAACCAACGTGCACAACCGGTACGAATATGTCCAGGTGTGTCAGCAACGTTGTCTCGGTTCTCGATAATGATGCCAAGGTTATGTAACCTAGTTTCGCGGACCTGATCCTGCTTCTATTGACCGGCTCATTGTCAGGCATCGCCTTCACCGTGAACGTGGTATATGAGGAAGTCATATGTCATTGATTCTACAGTCTTTCGCCCTAATAGGCCTCCTCAGAAGCAGAGACGGCGTCGATAAATTCAAAGCACAGCAGCCATCAGTTCCTTCCCGAACGGTGTCCAGTAAGCCATGTCGACGTCGCAGGTATCCGTAGAGTAGCACCAAGACGAAAGTCGGCGAGGCGAGCCTACTGATCTAGTACGTAGCAAGCAGAGAAGAGAGTCGGTAATGGTGGTTCACAACCTGGTTGCGCGGAAGATGGGGGGCCAGGTAGGTCCTTGGGGCGTATATCAGACATCAGCCCATCCTCCTTCGTCTAGTTTGTAGGATGCCTCGCTCTCTGGCCGATCCGGGCTGTCCACGAGCTTTGCTACACGTTCCTCGGCCCGGCCTGCTCAATCAGTATTGACTCCCCGTACGAATCCTGAGCCATAGTGATGGCATACACTCACCCTTTCTGAGGTACATTCTAGTAGCAGACGCATGCGAGAGGATATGCCCGCCTATGGGTTTAAGTGCCCCGCCGGCAACGAACGTCATCGTAGCGCCGGGATCGGCTGAGGAGTACAAATGGGCAAAAGGACGACCTTGAGAGATGCAGATTCCTTACATTGTACTTGGTTCGTGATGAGAACCGCGATCTGAATTCACGTTAGTAGACAACAACAAGTTAAAGTCCTGCGACATGCATTGTATTCTTCCGATAACTTGCTGAGTTTCGACAGCATCTAGTACGTTCCCTTTCCAGTGAGTGCGATACGAGTCAGACGGCGCCGGCATGGGCACTGGCGCACCTGGGCAAGCTGTAATATCCTGTTATCAATGTCGCCGCCCATCTCAGTTCGGATAGGTATTCACTCACCTTCTGCTGGCGCTCGCTGAGTTCGCCTCTCCCAGAATAATCAGCTCTAAAAAGAGCCATGATGCTGTCGACGATCTGCCAAGTTCGTCAGTGTCTACAATAAGATAATCTAAGTAAGAATGTGAGGCACCAATAGCCTGAAGTCCTTGTCCTCCGCAAAGCGGATCGAACATTCGTTAATTAATTCCATCTTCATTGGAGTGCGTGAGTGTGCAAGTGTTACGGTTACTCCATCACGTACCTGGTGCTCGCTGTTGTGCGCCCGGGCTGGTGCCAGCTCTCGATGAGATAGTTATAGTTGAATGAGCTCATAGCCGACCAACCATATAAGATATTCTCAAGGGCCATATTCCCGTCAACTGCATGAAGAGTCAGCTTACATAGAGCAGATAAGTTCAAAATATACCTCCGAATCGATCTGCGATGGACCTGATGCGGTCGGGTCGGAAAGTGCCTTCGGTATCGATATACGCGACCTAACAAAGAATACAGCTTGGCGAGGTCGATGTATGCGCATACACTCACCTTTCCAGAAGCTCCCCCCATGTCTGGCGGAAGTTGGGCTACCACGCTCATAGTATGTGCCAGCTGCGTTTTACCAGTCCTAAACTCTCCGTATACTTCGGTGATCGACTGAGACATGACCCCTCCTGAGAACCGGTCAAACATCTATAAACTTCTTACGTTGATCTTGATAACTCACCGCCCAGGGCAGTGTCCACGGCCTTGCTACCGGTGCTCACGACGAGCACGCGCTTCCGCTTTTCTTGCACCTCAAGGCCTGTGGCGAACGACGATCCCTTCAAGTTTCATTGGGAAAGTTTCGTATATGTATAGCCTAGGTAAAAACGAACCAGAATCTTGTGTGCAGCTTCCTAGTTTATTTATGCAATGAGAATATAGGCGCATAAAACGGCAGAGAATACATGCCTTGATCTTCTCTACCTTGGCCTCGGACATGCCCTGCTGACCTGCGTCGACTCACTTGTAAAGCAATGAAGCGTACAGTACTATACCTTAATCTTCAGCATTTGTCTCCTCGTCGTCATGTTCACCCCGGATACTGTGTTGATTGACGCAGACTGCAGGGAGTGGAGCCGTAATATTTTATTCTGAAATGAAGGTCACTCACCTTGAGCTTGACGATATCTTGAACGTTGATGCCCTATATATGATGAGTTGACATAGTTTGATGCATGTACAGCTATCTTACATGCTGCTGTAGCTCGTCCACACTGTCGAAGTATGGTCCCTGCCAATAACACATGACTATATGCGCAACGTGGACAGCTGTTTCGGGTACCTCTTCCATGTCGTCTCCAGCCGGCGAAGCAGGACGAGACAGGGTAGGGACACTCTGAGACGGAGCCCGGCGAACCATGCTAAAAGACACGTCCAAGAATAGCTGGAGATGTAAGAGATGATGGTTGAATGGAGAGGAGCAAAAGATGCGGCTATTTCGACTGATCACTGGAGCCAAAGCATTTGAGACGCGACGCGCGTTACTGCACGTGATTGTGACCCTAGGTCAGGTGATCTTTCCTTACCAGTGACAAAAATGCCAGGAGCGTGGATTGAACACGCGACCTCCAGAATCCAATATAAATCTCTTCAGTCTATTGCTCTCCCAGCTGAGCTATCCCGGCTTATTTATGCTTTCTCAGTGCGCTTGACCATTGGTAATTAACCTTCAAGTGGCATTGTTCTTAGATTCACAGGTCGCATTCGAGGTGAAGTATTAAAGTAGTTCGTTTGAGGGGCTCGCATAGGCAGACCTACGGTATCATTATACACAGCACATCGGTGTTCCGCTTAAACTGATGTTACCACACCTTCGACACCTATGCTTTCTAACTCTGCCCTCTCGACCTCGTCGATATCACCTACAATCTCTACGCCGGCTTCATGGAAACTCGGTGTTCTGCTCTTCTTGCGAATAACTCGAGAAGAGGTGGGCTCGGCTGATTCGGCGGACATTTCGAGCTGTGTAGAACGTAGAGGGGTGGGGGCCCGGATCTCAGGAGTAGGTCCAGAGAAATCTTTCCCCGTCATACGGGATAGTGTCTCGATGTCTAAAGAAAGGTGAAAACCCCGCAGCAAACGCAAAGAAACTGGATGAAAGCTTACCATATGGCCTGCGGTTGTTGAGACAGTAAGTAATTCGCGCAGGATCCTTTTTGTCTTCTGCTTTGAACTTGTTCTTGCACGCTTTGCGATCGCGTCCGGGAAGAACGTAGGATATTAGCTCATAGTTCTCGCCAAATTGTGAGAGAGCCTGATGCGTAGGAAGAGTACGATAAGCCAATATTCATGAAGTAGAATATAAAATTTACGTCGTAGAACATCTCAGTTTCTTCGGCACTCCAACGGGATCCTCGTAGTTTTTTGCTATACGTCGCCGAGTTCACGAACTTGGTGAAATCCGATTCCTCGACGTGGGCGTACTCTTCAGTTTGATCCTCTTCGTTGCGATTGACGAACAGTGACTCCTCATCGATGATCGTTTCTCCATTCGCACCTATGCGGACTTGGACATTGTAACGACTAACTGCCATATTTTCATCGTAGTCGAAGCCTTCGGTTCCTTTGTCTTGCCCGTCTATATCGCCTGCAGTTGAAGCAGACGCATCCGGATCTAACGCAATGGATCCTGCTCGCGAGGCGGGGCCCGGCGCATCGGGGTCTGAAGGCGCGGCTTGATTGACCACGTCCCGGGATCCTTCTTCATCTTCGGCGCTCCGGCCATATTTCTTTGCTTCCATGATCGCTTTCATGCGGGCCCGTCGGTCACGATTTGCCGCCCGCCATGCTGCGTGGTTACTGACGATTTGCGCAGCTTTGCTGCTCACCCGACCTCGCCCACTGTCGTCGCAAAGCGCGGCCATTGTGATCGCTGTCGGGTCGAGCTCTTCGCCAGGGTCGGCTTCGGGATCGAAAGGAGGTGGAGAGGGTGCTCTCTTTCGAGACTTGCGTGGCTCCGTTGTTTCCGACCATCTGCGCCGCTTGGGGCTGGACGGTGCCGTACTGCCTTCGGCGTCCGTAGTGGATCCTCTAGGGCGTCGCCTTTTGGTTGGTACGTCGCTATGCTCGCCGCCGTCTTCTATAGGCGGGGTCAGTAACAGACGCCAAAATATACGTTTGGTACTGCTCACGAGCTGCTCCCTCTTGAGCGTGGTCTCCAACAACCGGCTTCTTTTGTCGTGCCCGCCGAGGTCGTGAAGTCTTGATGGATGGAGTAGCGCTGAGCCCCATGTCTAGCCTACCCTCAGTGCCTTCATTGTCTGGAGCACCTTGATGTGTTGAGGAAGTCGTCACAGCAAATCCCGTGTGCTCCATTAGCTGGGGATCGATTTGAGACGAATCGATGGAGAATGGAACATCAGATGAGCGTCCTGCTAACGAAGCAACTACTTGTGACGGGAAAGAGAATTCGACTGGTATATAGGCCGGTCCCGCACCAGTTGTGTGAGTGGGGACTGACATTACGGGCATGTTTGGTGCACTAGTGGACACGGGTGGTTGTGTGATTGAAGATAAAGGAGGAGGCGCACGAGTCATGTTCCGCGAAGGGGTGGCAATAGCGAAACCAGTCTGCGAGGAAGGCAGCTGAGACGAGCTAATCCTTGGAGGTACCCGAGAAGGTACGGGCGTGCTTCGCTGAGTATAGACCTCGGGCGTAGTTACGCTCGCGCTTGTAATGGCCAGTGATTGGGGAAGGGAAACTTCTGCGGCATCGGATACGCCGTCTGAAAGAGATGGATCGCCTGAGAGTCTAGGGGTAATGGATGCAGGAGGAGGCATAGTCGTCGATGCCGCAGGGCCCTCATGGGTTTTGCTCAAGCGAGAAGTAAAACTTGTCTCTGGAACTGCAGAGGGTTGGCGGGTCTCCCCACTAGGTCGTGGGCGGGGTTTCGCAACGGGTCTGAAAACCGTATTCCCCTTCTCTGTGAGATATAGGCGTTAAGTAGCATCGTAAAATGAGCCAGGGGCAAAACGTACGGACGCGTTGTGACATCTCAATCGCCTCTCAATCGCCTCAGGGTTCAATGGTCTCGGAAGATACAGGGTTACCCAAGGCGAAGAGGGACAGGACGAAAGTGTTCAGTACAGTATGGGACAAAGGTATGCGAGCGCGCAGGCGCCCACCACAGCAATCTTAATCCCAAACTACCACTGACACCCTATATAAAGCCCAATTCTTGGTGGCGCAGCCCTGTCTTGTTTTCAGGCAGTATATCCTACGGGTCTTTTGGCCTGTAGTATTCCTATTCGTCGGCATATATTACGTCGAGGTATGCACCGGGCGGTACAACTACCCACGGGCCCCCATCCTGGATGGGAACTGGAAGAACCGCAGCCTGAGGGTCAGGACCTCAAGAGTGTTCCAGAGAGGTCAGTTTGCCATCCTTGCGATGCATTCATCAGCGTGCATTCGACCGTTACTAGAGCTAACACTTTCTAGCCTTGTTGTATTGCAGTCCCTAAGGCAATGTAAGTCATTTGACACTCGGTATATTTTGTCTCAGAACGCTCAAAACGGAGCATCTTAAACTAGCACGGAGCATCTGGGTTACCACTCTTTTCCCTAAATTTTCTGTCAAAACCCGTGGTGGGAGGCCCACCGAAGTAATTCCTCCTCCGCATACCACCAAGGCATACGGCAAGTACGACCTGCTGATCGGTCCTCATGTATTCGCCGATACAGCTATATACGAGGTTCACTACCTCCCGCCGAACGACATTAGTATGTTGTGGCGTTTTGCCATCACCGTTTGTCCCGGGCTAATTGCTTTGTCGCCACAGCAGCGTCGCAAACTTCTGCCATTCAATCTGCAAACCTCAGCAGCGTTCAGACATCGCTCTCATCCGTGCCTTTCCCATCCGGGACTTATGTCACTCCCGCGATGTCATCAAAGGTTTTGTCCGTAGCGAAGGAAGATCAGACACTAGCCAACTTACTCAATGCCGTCGTCAAACGTACTGCTACTGACGACCAAGTGAGGACCCTAGGGTATCTCATCCAGTCGATGGGCGGCGTTCAAACATTGGACCAATCTAGCGCCGCTCCTGGTACTACCCTCCAGCCGCCAGTGAGACCCGTCTCTCCAAAGCCGTTTGATATAGTTCTCGAGTTTCACGAGCGGCCTTCCGAACGATTCGTGCTTTCCCGAGGCGACGTTGTCTGTGACTTGGTGGCATCCAAATCGAACAACGCTTATAGGGCGTCGGATGTGATCGTTACCTGCTGCATCCCATTCCCGAGGGCAGCGACCTTTGAGCCCTCACAGACCTCACCGGAAGCCAGATCGCCAGAAGTTGCCACTTTCCGGATCTCACGGATATCCCAGAGTTTGTGGGACTTGCTATTTGTATGGGCAGGGGGACTTGATAGAATCGAAGAGAGCAGAGTGAAGCTTTCGCAACTCGTACGTGATCGTAGTATAACGTGTGCAATTGATTCTGAATGCCGTGCCGCAGGCGAAAGTTGCTCCTCCAAGGTCTTATTTACAACATCGCTTGCCTGAAGGCGACCTACTGGAGGATATTCAAAATGTGCGTCCTCAGGTCCATTGTTCGTTGTTGCCTCTTCCCGACCTGCCCGTACAGTCCGTGGCTCCAGCATACACCATGAAACCCGTGAAACCTCCTGGGGCGGACAGCAATAGACCCAAGCGCAAATCCGTTTCTAGGAGGCCGACGGTAGTCAGCGGAGCTCCGTCCACACCATTAGATATATCTCCGCCGGCCAAACGACGCAACCAACCCAAGCCCAAGGTCTCCGCGCCGCCCCCAATAGCATGTCATTCGTGTGGACAAACCGATGTTCCGCTCATGATGGGAGGAAGTGGGTACGGGTTACGCAATTTTGGAGCTTCTTATCCTGACATGCGATAGGATACTGCCGTGAATGCATAAATGCGGGCAAGGCCGTCGCCGACATTCCCCAAGTCCAGCCTAGCAGGATGGACCGGAGAGTACCCGCGCCTCACACTCTTCACCCAAACGCAATCATTGCACAAGCAAATCCGCCCGCTGCACCCCACCTTATTGCTCCTGCTGCAAGCACATCCGGCCTCCAGAGTCTCCCACATCATTCCCCCCATCCCTATTAGGCCTTCTCGCAATCATTATCTACCGGCTGGCCCTACTGATCGTGAAAAATGTATTTGTTCATACTGCATAACCACTATACAATAACCAATAGAATAATGATACACGCACAGCAATACCGACAGCGCTATGTAAACAGGTTAACAGTCCATCCTAGCCACCAAATGACGACACCCGACTGCGCGAGGAGGATGCAAAGCTCGATTAGCACCGCGCACCATTGAATTAGGAGTCCGATAATGTAGATGGGAATTACGGTCCACCAGAGACCAGCATTACTGATCCACGGGAGGTTGACATGGACGGTGAGTGCTAGTGCCGCACGCGCCTGTAGAAGCGTGACGAAGACACTAAGGAAAGAGAGGAAGAGAAGGCCGACCCAGTGACGAAACGACCGCCGCGGGAAGTGTTGGATAGGATATCGTTTGGTTTCACCAGTGAATTCATTACGGTACCAGGGAATAATGAGGAAGTCTTGCACATCTTCACCAATGACCTTGCCATAGTTTCGCCAGAAGGGAGTAACGGTGTCCAA